ATAATATACGTATATTGTGTATATATAGACACTTTATACACTATATACACTATATACTCCTGGACATTCGCTCAAACACTCACTATATACACTTTATACACTTTTGACTATATACTGATAATATACGTATATTGTGTATATATAGACACTTTGTACACAATATACACTATATACTCTTGGACATTCCCTCAAACACTCACCATATACACTTTATACACTTTTGACCATACATTGTCTATTGTGACTATTTATATAGGCTGCAGAATATACACAATATATCCTATATGTCTATAGTGTATACATATACGCAATATACAGGCTATTCTGTATATATATATATACACTATTTACACAATAGATATAAAGTGTATATTCTGCAATATCGGGCCTTACTCGTAACTTGACACTGTCGTGTATAAATAAAACCCATATTGAACCCAACACTACAACGAATGTTTAAAACACTGTGCTAGCCTGTCTGTTATAAAACAATTCTTTTGTAAGGATTGTCTTTTTTAAAAAATCTCATCGTACTTTATTTAAATAGCTTCACCTGAACTTCAGGTTACAGCCAACAGACAAATACATTTCTATAAACAGCTTGTCATGCGACATATGATAGTAGCCCAGCATGTAGTCTGCCCTCAGAATTATCTAGGTAACATTATTTTATAGGAAGTGGATATTCGTCCGACATTTCCATAATCATTAAACTCGTTAAATATAAAACTGCGTAAATTTAACTGAAATTCAAGCGATTCCTCCGTAGTGTTGTGGTTTAGGCACCCGTATTGTGTGCGCCGAGTTCTAGGATCGATTCCTGCTCGTGCCACAATTTTATTATTTTTGTTTATACTTTTTTTTTCTTCGTGATTTTCGCGTACGAAACCGTCGAAACGTATAGCGTATATAATAATATGTTGTTGCTTCGTTCTTAAGAAACAACGCAAGCATTTAGTGGTTTAGTGTTAGCTTTTAAAGCGTTGTCGGATTAATAGCCGTGAAGCAAGAAGATCCGGTGTCGGACGAATATCCACGGGGTATTTTATATTATTGATGTCTAAATTCATTTCATATATGCAAATGGCTTGACGCAAACTCGCAAGTCAAAGAATCGCTAAAAGTAAGACGTCTATTTGCCGTAATTGCACAATAAATAACAAAATGTTTTCAGCGACTGAAACTGCTTGTAGCAGTCTGCTTCAAGCCCTAACTCAAGGACAGGCTGATTAAAGACATGTTAGCAGTAAAAGATACCCATGCATTCATACGAGTGACGACTCTCTTCCCTCTCACCTCTCTTCGATTAAAATTGATATAAATCCATGGCCACGACTACTGTACATATCTGTGACTTTCAGTGAAATACCCGATACCAATTAATCTTATTGCTCGCATACATGAGCAAACAGTCTAAACAGAAGTCGCATAAACCGATAAATCGTTGCTGAACGCAAACGCAGCATCGATATTCATGCAAATTGAATCCGAGAGTCCAACAAGAGCCAGATCCACACAGGGCAACAACCGCAACATATAATTATTTAATTCTGCGCAAGCTAGTTTCCGTACACCAACATGAACATGCAGCGGCGTAACGTTATATCAGGGGGCCCCCGGTTCAAAATTTTCGAAGGCCCCTCTATAGTAGAAGTGCCAAAGGCACAAGTCGAGCACCATATATGCACGAGTTTTCCAGGGGATCCAGAGCATGCTCACCCGGAAAATGTTTTGAATCTAGAGTCTCTGAAATACCATTTCCCGGACTTTGGGGAGAGATTTTACAGAATTCTGATGGTCAGAAAACGACATTGTAACATATCAGAGACCCTGGCCAATGTTTTTGCTCTGTAGCCTGAGCCTGGGGGCCCCCATTTGGCCCATTGGGGTTGGGGGCCCCCGGGTTCTCCCGGTCCGAGACCACAGTAGTTACGCCACTGTGAACATGACCTGGCAACTCTTGATTCACCTCAGCCAGAATCTCGGTAATGTAAAATATCTCCGTCTGTAAAATATCTCTGTTAAATCGGTCTAAACTCACATTAATTAAATAATTAGAAGCAGAGAAATAATCGATATTCTTATTAAATCGCCATACAAAGCCATAGTTTTCTATATGAACAACACCTTCGAAGCACGCAATGACGTAAAAAATGAGGGCGCTGGACAAATCCGAGACTGCAGTGAAAAGAACAACATGGCGCCCAAATTTGACAAAATCGCAAACTTTGACAAGCAATTTCTCCTTTACTATTAATATTTAGACCGAAATACTTGAGGAACATTCTAATATAAGGGGAAGATCTTTCATATAAACCACACTTGTATTTGAGCTGGAGTTCCCCTTTAAATAAACTACAACTTCTGTCGTAAATTGATAGTGTTTGTATCCGTTTTAGCGTGAAAACACAAATGAAAACGCTCGAAAACGTTATCGTGTGCACATAGTCTTAATATCAAATTCATTCCAATCCACAGAACGCGAATTTCACTTCGGCATTATTAGGCCGCGGGTGCTAGGACACCTTTTTCTGCTTCAACTTAAGATTGCCGCTTTCATTAGGAATAATTGTGGGTGTTCAATTCGCGTTTATGGACTATAAAGTCCATAATGAAACGCGTTTCCAGATATTAGGGAGCATGTTATAATATCAAATTTATGTCAATCCGCACAACGCTCGAATACGGAATACCTACGAGGATATTATGGTTATGGTCACTTTGACTTGGATATATTGGAACTAAATATTTTGGCACGTCGGAGTATGCATATAAATGTATTTTGGTTTTTACGAACTAAAATCTGTCTCAGAGTATAGTCAGGTATGTCTTGTCTGGAAACCATCTCATTACATGATTGCTGCCACCATTATTGCATAGCAGACAATTCCCCCAACGCATTCGACCTCACACAGACTCAGCAATTAGCCATTTCCCAATCGAGCAGAGGACTGGGTCTAGTCGCTTGTTTGGAGGGACAAAAAATAAACAATATGCCGAATATGACATCTATATATATATATATATATATATATATATATATATATATATATATATATATATATATATATATATATATATATATATATATATATATATATAGGACTTTTCCTGCATTCCTAAAGTTATTTGTGCAGCCTGAAACGCAACAATTATAATAAGGCATCTTTTAATATATATTTAACTCGCTCACTATAAGTGTTGTCCCTCCAAACATCAACTAGACCCAGTCCTCTGCTCGATTGGAAAATGGCTAATTGACTAATTGTCCGTAATGAAAGATTTAACGAGTCACAAGGACTGATGCCCTACTACAGTGGACAGCACACGTTTCGACTCGTATTTCTACGTATAGAAATATGCATAAATTACTAAATACATTTTACTTTTTAATTAAGTGCCTAATTGATTTGGTTACATATACCTAAGTGATTATTCTTTTAATTAACGCTAGAGGAAAATATAGAAATGAATATATAAAGATACCATCATTTATCATGTTAATAACTATATTGTTAAACCTTTGCAAAAAACTTTTCCATTATATTCCCGTACACAGAGTCGTTGTTTCGAATGCGTTTTTTTTCTATTTCGAGTCGAGAGTTTTCATAAGTCAAGTCTGGGTTTTCTTAAAGACAAGTCAGGATTTTTTTGAGTCCAGCTCCGGGTTTTTCTCGAGTCTGGACTTTCTTCGAGTCCGAGTTTCGAAGTATGCCGTTTTGTTTATTGTAAGTGTAATGTACATACTGAGCAGCGTACGACTATTAAATCGATAAAAATATTCGGCCAACTGGCCAAGGCAAGCCAACTTATCTGAGCATGGGCTGGTTGAAATGTTGAGTTGTTATAAGAATATTAACGAGAAAATCTACTAATTTAATTCCAAGATATATTTGACAAAATTCTTAACTCACTAGTAAAAATTTTCGAGATTCAAGAATATTTAGAAAACTCTTTATTGAGCATAAACTCACAGTTTGAGCCTCAATTTATTATTAATACGAGTCCGCAAAGTAGAGGACACTCGAACAGAGAACCGTCTAAGCGAAATTCAAAAGTATAACAAGGACCATTATTTCCAGAAGACCGTTTACCATAGATTAACAGTTTAACGATAGATCTTCTCATTCGTTATAGGAATTCTTAATTAAGTGCAGTGATGGCGGAAAGTGAAGCAAGAACCGACTCGCTTAATAACGAGACATTGTCTACAGGTAAAAATACAACGGGGAAAGTAAGCCAAAACCAAAGCCTTAAATTAATTCAGTTGTCTTGCTTTTTGCCAAAAAATTATTATGTGCATTTTAGTAGTTAAAGAATTAGTGTCACACCAATGTATCGCGGGCTTTTGTTGCAGTTTTTATCTTACTCAAAATCAACAAATAACGTTCAAAAACTCATTAATAATTCATTAGGAAAAAACAAAGGAAAATCATAAGCGTGTTGTATCTTTATATGTGATAGAGATTTCTCTTGATTTTCATCAACTTTAACTCTGATTTTTTCGACTTGCACAACGTATTTTTTAAAAATTACTTCGCCAAGCCTTACTACCTCGATTTTTTTTTGAAGCAATTTAAAACATTCGCAGTGCGTGTTTTATCAGAGCTAAACATACTCGGCTTGCGTCTTATGTTTTAAATAGTACATAAAAGTGCGTTACTTCTACAAAGTATCTAAGAATAATCTGTCATGTGGTTACTCCAGTCATTTGCAGGAATCTATTCAATAATTGATTATTATTACACAAAGTAGTAATTTTCATCCTTTTACAAAGGTTTCCAAAAAGATATCTGCAAGGAACATGGCAATTGGTTGACTGTTGGCGAACTAATTCGTTCCATCCAGAGACCAATTTCTAACTACGTCGACGAAATCGTCAAAGCATTCCACGAAAAGCTGTGCAAAGATTTGCTCCACGCTGGCAATTGCAAAAGTCCTGAACATTGCAATAAAAAGACCAAGGACGGCGATCTATGTAAATCATGTAAATGCTGGTTTAAGAAGCTCGAGGCGTCGCATGAAAAGAGTAACAATCCCTCATGGCATAAAAACTGCAAAAGCGCTGAATGGTCTGAAGATCACTGGGAGGTGGCGAAATTCTACATGCCTGCACTTGGATCTAACCTTAGTTCTACAAAAGATGCTGAATCTACCGACATTTCTTCCCTTCTCAACGTACTCGAATGGATGAAGGACGGGGCGTTTCTTGGTAAAGTTCGAGTCATCGTGGATCTTGTAAGAAAACTTCGTTCCCAAGTAAGAAATACCTGGGCACATGCACCAAAACAAGAACTCAGCGACGACGAAAAGTTCGAAAGTTTCTCGATTGCCACCGACTTTCTTCAAGATCTGGAGAAGGTATTTTCCCATCCAGAAAACGCACAGTGTTTGGAGCATTTCGAACACTTGAAGACAACGGAGTTACCAACGTTGCTGAAAGTGAACGTCATAGCTTCCAGTTATTTCACTACTTGCTTAACAACAATAAAGAAGAGATCGCAACAATGAAAGTTGAGCGTTCATCCGACAAAAGCGCGATTGAATAACATGAACAAAGGCTGAAGAAATTGGAATATGGATTGAGTAATGAATGGTCCCAAAGAACGTCTGATTTTGAAAGTTTGAAAGAAAACTTTAAAGACAAACGACAACCAACGAGTTGCTTACCAGATAAATTGCCAATGTTCACCGCTCGCGAAGCCGAGATCCAAAACGTCATCACTTTCCTGAAGGATGAAGGAAAAGCCGTTGTGTCTCTCCATGGCGGACCTGGGTTTGGCAAGACTGCAATCGCCATCGAGGTGTCGCATCAACTTAGTGAAGACCACAAGATTCCAGTTGTTTTCTTTCAATTAACCACCGCAACCACTGTAGATGAAATGGTTCTACGACTGTGTCGCGATGTTGGTATTTATCATGAAAATGACCTTAAGTCATCGTTGATTCTCTGGTTAAAAAATGTCAAATGCAAAGTAATTTTTGTTATGGACAACATCGACAACCTGCTTGAAGAGAAGACAAGCTTCTACGAGTTTGCTGCGAAAGAGTTCAAATCAGCATTGTCAGATTGTTACGACTTCCAGAACTTCCTGTGAAATTCGCGAACTCTTAACTGGTGAAGTTCAAGTTGACGAGATGGATGATGAAGCATGTATAGAGCTTTTGAGAAAACAATGCCCTGATCAGGAAGATGAATTTTTGCGAAGATTGGCTGAACTTTGTGGCAAAATACCTCTTGCTATGTGCATCGCAGGTTCCCGAGTTGACGACTTTGAAAATTCTGATGAATTATTATACCACCTGCAAAACCAACCAATGGAGATTTTGGAATGTCCTGAGAGTGATCAGTACGTTTATCGAGCTATCAACATGTCTACTTAACATGTCTCTAGTGAAGAAAAAGAAACGTTGTGCCGTTCGGCAGTTTTCGAGGGAAACTTCAGTGAGGATGCCGCCAGAGTCGTGATCGAGAAAGAGAAACTAGATACTAAACGTGTCTTGAAGAAACTTGTTCGCCGAAGCTTAATCAAACAAACAACCAACCAAGCACCGATACTCCATTCATCTCCTGATCAAACATTTTTTAAAGCATAAACAGGAAAGCGAAAACGAAACAGCAGAACGAGTGCGTACACAAATGATGCGTGCGGAAGTGCTTGTGGTTAAATACTGCTTGAAGTTGGGACACGACCTAACGATGAAAAGTTACTCCAAAGACGGGTACAAAGCAAACAGAGAAGCTATAAAGCAGGAAGCGCACAACATCCACAACGTGCTCAAAATTTGTTGTCAGCAGAAAGATTGTTTGTTAGCAGACCAAGAACGCAGCAAATCAATTGCCACTGGTAAATCTGACGAGTATTTCAATAAGATGGCAGAAATCATGAGAGAGTTCGATACGCACTATGAAGATTTAAAAAAAGACAAGTCGCTTTGTGCTCATTACTATTTCCAGTACGGGAGATGTCTGTCATGTAAATCTGAAAGTCAAGTGATAAAGCACGCGTAGATATGCAAGTTGACGCACGTAAACAGCTGGAAAAATCGTTAGAATTCAGGAGAATGTTACCGGAGACATCCGTGGGAATAGCAGATAAAGTGTTCTCATTATTTCAGCAGGGAAATATATGCAAGATTAATTCTGCAACTGAACGTTTCCAGGATAAAAGTAATAAATTCAAAGAATCGTTGATATACAAGCACAAAAGTATTACAAAAAAGCTATACAGTTGTCCCAAAACCATCTAGGTAAGCACGAGCTCACAGCATCATGTTACAAACGTCTCGGAGATCTATTCTTAAGTGACAGGGAACCTGAACAGGCGAAGGATAATTACACCATTGCTAAAGAAATGCGAGAAGATCTTGAACTTTACGCCAGTGAAAGACACGTTTGTCTGCTTAACAACCTTGGAATATGTTTGACCCAAAGCAACCGTGCAAATGAAGCTATAGAAGTTTTGGAAAGTGCTTGCGACATGGCCGAAAAACTTGCTGAAAGCGACGAGCCAAATGTCAGCAAGACAAAGGTCTATACATCATTAGCCATTGCTCACCATTCATGGTATTCCAAAGATGCTGTAAAATACGCCATAAAGCACTGGAGTTAGATAAAGTACAGAATTTCATTAAAGACTACGAGTACAAGAAACTTTTGAAAATTTTACAAAGAAACGCTGGAAACAACTGCATTAAATACACACTGCATGGACTTTTTAATTAAAATGTTTGAATGCGTTACGGTTGAACATTTTATATCGTATTTCTAAAATGAAATGTTTAAATGGTGTATAAGAAACGCCAAAAAAGCACTAGACGAAAAAAGACACAATCCAAGTATATGGAACTTCACTAAATTTTATCAAACAATGTTGGAAACAACTAAATGTATTGGTTTTGAACGCTACCCCACCAGGCACACGACGTTGTTTCAACGTTGAAATTTGGTAGAAAAAAGGTTGCGACGTCGACAACCTAATATCTACGTTGCTCTGACGTTATTTTACAAACGTTGGTTCAACAGCAGCCAACTTACGTTGAATTAACGTTCGTTCATGGTTAAATGTACGACGTCGATTTGTGAACCAATCTCAACGTTGTTTTAACGTGGATTCCACGTTGAATTATGGTTGACGAGATTGGCAACCTAATTTCAACGTTGTTTCAACGTCGAAACAGTAACGTCGATCCAATTTGCATAGTCAACCCTTTTTCAACGTCTATCCAACGTCTGGAAGGTCATTTCCAACGTTGATTCAACGTTGGATAAACGTCATTTTGCCCGCTGGGACGTTTTAACTTTTATATCTAATATGTTTTTATCTAAATCGTGAATATAAAAATGCTAAGACTATATGCCAGTTTACAATTATAGATGCACTGAAAACAGTTTATTATGCAAGTTTAGCATCTTAAATTAATATAGAATTTTCTATGGTAGATATAAGCTGATTCATGTAGATTGATTTGTGCACTTAATATAGTTGAGTCTCTTAACATAGGCAGCTCAAAAATACGTGTAGAATGCACCAAATGAACCAAATATCAATTCATAAATAAGCTCGCCGCATTCTAGATCTACACGTATTTTTCGGCTGTCTATTGTCTTAAATAAATGACTTCAAAGGAAATTAACGACAAAAAAAATTATTGCATCATCAGTAGTCTATCGACACTATGAGCAAAAACAAGATTGCCCGAGATTTCTTTGGAACGTTACAGAACTTGCATGTCTTTATCCAGTCTTTCCCAAAGCGATATAGTGTTTATGTGAAGAATCAGAGGGAAATTAATGCCCATGCCGGAGGAGGAGAAAAAAGGGAGTATACCCTTAAGAAGCTATCTGATACTAGATTGGCTTGTCGTGCAGACAGTACGTATAGCAGGAATACACCGTACTTTAGATGCTGTAATTGCAACGCTGAAGGAGGTTAGGGAAATGAAACATTGGCCATTGCAGCTGAGGCAAAGGGACTTTTGCAAAATATTCAAGACTTTGAATTCATTGTAGCTCTAGAGGTAATTTGAATAATTGAACTGTTATTTTTTTAAAAAAATATGTGTATAATAAAAACTGTTCTTTTTAATTTGTTCTATTTTATCGCAAGGTGCTAAAAAGGGTGCTGCATCTTAGTAAAGGGGTTTCAGACAAGCTTCAGTCCGAAGGCCTCGACGTTATTTCAGGATGTGAGAGAGTAGCTGATCCTCTTACTGCAATTAAGGCTCTTCGATGCGATGTGAACTTTGAAGATTTCTGGTTTGCAACCCCAGAGAGATGCGCAAAATTGGGAATCGAGGTGCCAAAAGAAAAGCGTCCTCACGAGGCTCTTCGGAGACTGGATGAGAACCCAGATACAGCCGCTCAGGTTTCAGTCAAAGACAAGTTTAAAATTTTCTTTTTCTACAATGTGAGTTTTTAAAACGATTCATAATGTGACCAATGTCTTAGAGGTGTTAATTTCACAATCTTTATTTAATTATGAGCAACTCGATTGAAACTCGTTTTAACATGGAAAGTACAGCTGTCCTCAAAGGCCTCGGATACCTACATCCTGCTCGAATATCGCATTCATAAGCATGGGAAAGCATTTCTGTAGCGGCAAAATGGTTCGAGAATGATATTCATTTGGAGGCTTTGGAGAGTGAAATATTTTCGTTACAGCTATCATCATTGGTAACAGACGTCCTTGAAAAGGCCGTATCTGAGAAACGGAATCCCGATTTTCTTGATTTGTTCAAGGCTTTACAGGCTGAACCCCAGTGTTATGGTTGTGTTAGCAAATTGATGGAAATTGCTTTAACACTTCCAATCACTTCATGTAGTGTCGAAAGAGTGTTTTCGAAGTTGAAGATAGTCAAATCGGGACTGAGATCTACTATGAATCAAAACAGGCTTGAAAACCTTATTCACATGTCGGTGGAAGTGGATTTGCTGGAGAATCTTGACTTGGACAGCCTAGTTCAGAAGTTTACTGATTGTGCTCCCAGAAGAATGAATTTGGTTTAGACTTCCTGGCAAAGGCTGTTTAGACGAAACATTTTATGAATTTTATATTCTTTAACGACCATTGTTTCATATTGACTTATTTACTGGTCTGGACTTTTTTAACTTACTATTAACAATAGAGGTATTTTATAACAGTAATGATCCAATGAAAAAAACTTGTTTTCTCAGGCGAATTATTAGTTCAATAAGTGAGTGTTAAAATTTACAACTTATGGCCCAATCACCTACATTTCCCATATAAGGCAGGTAAGGATACGCGAATTACGAAATTAATAAAATAATCGTTTCCATTAACTTGATATGGATGGTCTCGTAAATTTTCTTGCTTAAACCTCCAAAATGGCGAAATCCAGAATTTCAAAACCCTAGAATTTTAAATTTCCCTGGCGGGGATGTCGCCCGACACCCCTTAAATACGCTCCCCCCCCCCTCCTCCCCCTCCCCAAAGTCAGGGCTCTGGCTACGCCCCTGGATCCAAGCCACTGGAAAAGAGCTCATTATGCCATGGAGATAAGTGCGTTCAGATTGGCATTACCTCTTGATGTTTTGAGAATGGTTAAATCGACTATTGTACCCACAATGACCACAACGAGTGGCGAAAATGACGATCGCGAAGATACTTTTATCGCTAATCCGTGGGCATGGGAAAGAAAGTTGCTTTTTCATTATGCCGGTCAAGAAACGGTCCTCGCTGAGAGAATGAATTTTATCGAGACTTGTAAGCAAAAGTCTCATGAGTCCATTGCTGAGTTTGAGTCTCGATGCAAATACCATGGGTCTAAATGCGAATACAACAAAATGAGAAACCCTAAACAGGAACTTATTCGGGACAGATTTGTAACTGGAATCCATAATGATTTACTTCTCTATCATTGTCCAATTAGAGTAACAAGTTTAAGCGTGTTCCTTTTGAAGTTGATACTGCAGCAACTTGTAACACAATGCCACTTGATATGTATTTAAAATTTGGTTCTGTAAATGCCTTGAAGCCCACAAGGTCAACATTATTTTCGTACTGTGGCAATCCGATTAAGCCATTAGGAACAGTTAGTAATACTTTGTTATGTGAAGCACCAAAGAAATTTGAATTCATTACATTTCAAGTTGTTGATAATAAGGATATAAAATTAAGTCAGCTTTGCTTGGTGCTGCAGACTCCATCAAGCTAGAACTTATCAAGTATGATAAATCCAGAGTTCATATGAGTAACCAAAATAAGACGGCTGTAGCCACTGATATTGGCTGTTCTGTAAACAATGATGACAACTGTTTCATGTCCTCTGACTCGAAAGGAAATCTTGCCAAAGATGAATTTTTTGCAAACCATTCTAAATCGTTTTCTGGCTTTGGAAATTTGGGGAAGCCTGTTTCATTTGTACTTGATCCTAAAGTTCACCCTGTGCATGCACCCATACATCGGATCCCTGTCGCCAAACGTGATCGAGTAAAAAAGAAATTAGATGAGATGGTTGCAGCTAAAGAAGAGCCCACTGATTGGTGTTCCAATATGACTGTTGTAGAGACAGTGAAAGAAAATGGCGAAGTGAAAACTAGACTTTATCTTGATCCCAGTCAGACGGTTAACAAAGCCATTGTTAGACCTAAATACACAATTCCAACTTTAGAAGAACTTCTGCCTAAACTAAGCCCAAAAACATATAAATGTTTTACTATAATTGATGCATTGGAAGGTTTCACCCAAGTACAACTGGATGAAAAGTCAAATTTCACAAACACAATGCAAACCCCTTAGGGACGCTATAGGTGGCTTCGTTTGCCTTATGGTATCAGAGGCGCCGGAATATCGATAATTGGGGGGGGGTCAGATATTCATATATTCGCGTTCCGCCCAATTAATTTCTTTTGATATCGATTGTTTTTACAGTCTGTGGACACGAATATATGAATATCTGCCCCCGCAATTATCGATATTCTGGCGCCTCTGTATGGTATATCTTCTGCACTAGAAGAAATACATGAAGCATTAGATAGTTTAGAAGTGGTTTTCAACATCGCAGACGATGTTCTGACATATGGTCTTGGGAGTTCTCCAGAAGAAGCTGAGGCTGCTCATGATAAACACCTCAATTATTTTATGAAGAGAGTTTTAGAAAGGAACCTGAAGCTTAATCCTAGTAAAGTTCTTGGCATGGTCAATTATTTGCATACCTTTTGCTCCGCATTGTCAGATGTAGTTCATCCTCTGCAGAATTTGATCAAATCTGACATACAATTTGTATGGTCAGAAGTACACGACAAGGCATTTAACAAAGCTAAGGAATTGATTGCAAATGCACCCTGTCTGGCGTACTTTGATCCCAGTAAACTTGTTGTGTTTCAAGTTGATGCGTCGGAAACTGATCTTGGTGGAGCAATGCTTCAACCCACAGCTCAAGGCAAGCTTTAACCAGTGGCGTTTACCTCGTCCACCATGCGTCCAAATGAAATTTTGTGGGCACAAATAGAGAAAGAAACTCTAGTCGTCTGTGCTGCGTGTGAAAATTGGGATCTGTGGTTATATGGCAAACAAATAACAGTACACACAGATCATCAGCCCTTCGAGACAATATTTAAAAAAACACTTTCCAAAGCGCCGATTGATGATGAGATTACAGAGATACAGCATTAACGTTGTTTATAAGAAAGGATCTAGTTTAGTGTCGGCAGATACGTTGTCTAGAGCACCACTCTCTAGTGTACACAATAGGAAACAGAACAATTTTGATGCGTTCAGACTGGAAGTTGAACGACTTGATGCCTTAGCAAATCCGCAGCTTCTACCAAAGACGACGATAAGTCTTCAGGCTACAACAGCGAAAGATCCCAATGTAGCTCAGCTGTTGAAGGTGATTTTGTCAGGGTACCCCGATATAAAGTCTCACCTTCCAGGCTGTGTTAAGCCATACTGGTGTTTTCATGATGAAATGTCTGTTCACAATGGTGTAATTTATCGTGGTAGTCAAGCTGTTATCCCAAAGTCCATGAGCAGACAGATGTTGACAAAGATTCACGCATCGCATGCAGGCGCAGAGAGTAACATACGAATGGCGAAGGATATTGTTTACTGGCCTGGAATGCAACCTGAAATTAAAGATATGTGTCAAAATTGTGGACAATGTGCTCAATTTGGAATAGAGAATACAAGAGAGCCCGTGAAATCACAACCTATCCCAAAATATCCGTGGCAATTTGTAAGTCAGGATATATTCCAGTTTGAATCAAGTAGTTATGTCGTTACAGTTGATCATTATTCTGACTTTATTGAACTTGGCGAGTTGGATAACACGTTATCATAAACCGTTATTAAACACTCGAAGTCGCATTTTACTCGTCATGGTATCCCGGAGATGTTGCTTTCAGACAATGGACCGCAATTTGTTAGTACAGAATTTGCTGCCTTTTTGTGACCTTTATGGATATAACATCGTCACCATATTGGCCAAGGGGTAACGGAAAGGCGGAATCGGCAGTAAAGATAGTGAAAACGTTTATGAAAAAATGTGCTGATATCCAATTGGCTCTCCTTACTTATAGAAACACACCACAGGAGGGACATTCGTTAAGTCCAGCACAGAGGAGTATGGGTCGCAGGACTAGACTTAACATTCCAGGGTTTCCAGAGATGCTTGGGCCTGAATAAGGATGTGTCAAAGTTGGTACAGTCAGAAATCAGTCTCAAAAGAGAGAAGGCGAAGAAGTTTTATGACAGGAAGGCTGGGAAGGAACATCTAAATGTGCCAATTGAAAGCTATGTCTACAGCAAACCATGCCCTCGTAATAGATCAAGTCCATGGCAGTATGGTCAAGTCGTGAGGAAGCCCACGTCAAGGTCATATGTAATAAGTACTTCAAATGGTACTGTGCGAAGAAATCGAGCACAAATACGCCAAGCTTCCCTTCCTTCACCCCAGGTGAAAATGAATGATGATATCAAGCTCAAGATGCAGATTCCAGAAGATCCAGGTAATCTTCAATTGTCGGACAGTCAGTCTACAGCCCCTGAGGTGCAAGGGCAGTCACAAGTACTTACTCCTTCTAGTAAGGAATTCAATTCTTCAGGTGATGATTCTAATGAAGGATCTAGCCTGGGTACATTGTATAGAACAAGATTTGGAAGAGTAGTTAGATCACCTAAGATCTTTGATCCTTCAGGTTAATTTATTCGAGCTTTAAAAGGATAATTATTTAAATTAAACATTTTTGTTAAAGACGAGAAAACATTTAAAGAAAAGAGAGACAAAGAAGCTTTATGAACAGGGGGGATATTACTGTGTACTTACAGTGATAGCATAAGTGATGATGGAAAATTAGGGATAGGTTTAACAAGATGGCGACCGTGTAATATAAAAGCTTGTATTTTAGGATTTTGTGTTATTAGTTTACAAAGTCAGCTATAGTAACTGTATTTGGTCCCTAATGTTCTCCAAACCATTGCATGTGTATATTTCGCCTGCTCCGGCATTTTATTTCTAGTTTTCTTTTTTCTTTTTATTTTAACAAATATGTTTGGACCAAATAAATTTGTGCGAATATTTATGTGTACGAAATAGATCTACAAGACTATGGCAAATCAAATATTCAACCTAATAAAAAAGAAATATATATGGAAAATCCAAAAAAGCAAGGTACCTGTTAAGGACTCTTGAGGACACATGCAAGGCACCTGCCAGTAAAGTAGAAATATGAAAGTACACAAGTGTTCATTATATTAGTACATCTGTCATCCACTTATTAAATGGATGAATGAATGGGAAGTAACGAAGAAATGAACTGGGCAATCGAAAAGCGATAAAGAAGAGTAATTAAAATATACAGAAAGCAAAATTCCGTATGGTTCGTTGGATGGACGGGTCAACAATGACAGACAGGTAGACATATAGACTGAGGAATAAATGAATCCACCTCCGTCCTGTGGCAAGGATCGATATTCACGCATAAAGGATTACAACGGCGTTTGAACTACATAAGGAAGACCTGAATTGCGGTCGTCTTCAAAGAATGAAGCATAATTGTTTATCTTCAGATTAAGGTAATTTTGAAAATCCTGGTTCTCAAATTTAATAGATACAGGCCGTTTTCCACCAGGCGGAATTTTGCGCGCGAAACGGAATTTTTCTATGTCTTTTCTAATTAGTTCCACCCGAGAAATCACAAGACAAAGAAAAATTCCGCTCCGCGCGGAAAATCCGCCTAGTGGAAAAGGGCCTTAATTTCCCCTTGAGGCTTGAACTCTCTCAATTATCCTATCTTTCGCCTGTCTATTTTGAAATTTGTGTTGCCTGACAAGCAACGACTTAACCAGTGAAACGTAGAGTGTACGCGTGATTTTAATGTCTGCTAACGATGGGCATACATGTTCTCTGCAGCTCAAAAAGTAATGTGATTACGTTCGGCGATAGAATTTCATTTATGTGAGAGTTCCAAGGAATTTTGCTGAATAAGGTGACTCCAATGTCTCTCTCCTCTTCAATTTACAGCAACGTTCGTTTTTGAACAGTACGTAGCAATGACATGAAACGGCTCATTCTGATACTTCTTGATACCTTTGATACATATAGATCGTTTGGACAAAAAAATTTCGTAAACTCAATATTAAGTCCTTTAAAAAGCTGCTGAAACTTGAAACTACTCAGTTCGTGCATTTACCTAATTTGCATATTGTTATTTTACTTTTTTACAATAACACTATGCAAATTAGATGAATGCATGAATACCCAAACAATCTATGTTTATCACAAATTCGGTAAATGAACGGATTTGTGATAATGAGAGCCGTTTCAAAATTGCCTACTTTTTTCTGATACACCCTGTATATATAACGTCCTGAAGGAATTCGGGGGGGGGGGTGTCTAGAGCCCAAATTTTTCAGAGGCGTAACCAGAACGATAATTGGGAGGGCCCATATTCATATATTCGTGTTCACATATCATAAAAACAATTGATTTCAAAAGAAATTAATAAAGCAGAACGCAAATATATGAATATGCCCCCCAATTATCGTTCTGGCTACGCCACTGAAACTTTTCTCTAAATCCCATTTCCCAGCCCTTTTTTAGATGAAATCCCATTCCCATTGTGAAATTGAAACAAAATCCCAAATCAAGTGGTTCATCTACAGGGTGTCCCAAAAAAACCGAAAACTATTGAAATCACCAATAACAATTTAATTGTTAGAATTTGAATGCCTTAGCGCTCTGTTGGTTCCCACGAGTGCATAAATGATTGACATAAGTAAATTTTATGCCTAAAGAAACTGTTTAAGAAGCTGATTTTAATTCCCAGGAGCAGAAAATCGCGCACTTTACCAGGAGATATTCCTAACTAAATTCTAATACATGCGCCTTGTCAATATTTTACGCATCATTACGTCCAGCTGTTTGGTAGGGCATTCAAATTTAACAATAAGTGATTTCAATAGTTTTCGTTTTTTTTGGGACACCCTGTACAGGGTGAGTCCAAAAAACTGTCACCTTTGTTTTTCAAATCCACTCACCCTGTACAGTGTGTCTAAAAAAAAGTGAACCCTTTCAAATTCAACTGATTTGCTATAATTAACATATTGTAGTAATTCGACAGCTCTAATTGCTTTGAATTAATGGTTGTATAAAGCCCTGATTCCACGGGCGCTTTTTCTCGGCGAAATGCGAAATATTTCGCACGAAATGAATCGTGCATGCGCAGTAAAGATAAATTAGGCTTCGCGAGAAAAAAAGTTCGCTTCGCCAGTGAGTAGAAGTCCGTTCTACTCACAGCGAAAGAAGAGTGCAAATTCAATAGAATCACTCATGTGTAGCCATCCATCATATTTCGGCATTTCGCACACACGATTTCGTGCGAAAAATTTCGCAGTCGTGGAATCAGGCCTTAAGAACACAAGGTCTTGTACTCATGGGACAAAACTCTTAAAAACGCTGGAATTTTCTAATTTTTATTTCTTTGAGTTTTGTCCCATGAGTTAAAGACCTAATTGTGTTCTTACCCAACCTTTAATTCAAAGCAATTAGAGCTTTTCAAATTACTACAATACGTTATAGCTAATTTGAAAGGGTTCACTTTTTTTTAGAGACACTGTATATTTTATGACTTTTGAGTAATATTTGAAATCCGAGTTGGTGCTTCATATTAGACGTGGTTTCTAAATCCAAGTGCCACTTTGGAATTTGGAAACCAAGTCTAAAACACCAACGAGGATTTGAAATGGCTTTTATCACACATCATTAGATGTTCATAGATTGAGGAAGTAACAATAGGAAATTAAGTTGTTCAATCAAGCGAATGCGTAACGAAGACTGCTGTTGGTATTTGTTTGCCTTCGAAGGAAGCGTGGCATTTAGTTTCAAAAACGAGGAGATTTCGAGATCCTCCAAGCGTGGAAAGAAGTATTGGCAACGTCCAAAATGCTATTCCACAAAAAACGCGTTATAAATATCGTTGGGGAGTTCGTATTTGAAGATTGGCAAAGTGGACGAGAAAATAAAGCAGTCAATGACAATGTGTGAGAGCAATCCTTTCTGCTTAGATTTGCAGAATGTGCAAAATTTGGAGACAGATTTGTGTTCAATGACGGCAAGAACGTTAAACTTCTGGCTTATCACTTATTGTATATAGAAGTTATTTCTAAATACAGCTTACTGTATTTAGAAATAATTCGAAACATAGCAATTAAATATGCTTGCATAATCTTTTGTTTACCCCTCAATTTCCCTATTGTTCAAAGTCTTTAATTTCCACTTAAAGTAATTAAAGTCCAGACGGAGTATCCAGATAGATATACGTGATGTAAATTACACCAGTTCATTGGCCGAACTGCTATGAATATCTAATGATGTGTGATAAATACAATTTTGTGTTCAATTACCCTATTTAGAACTAGTTTTGCCGAGAAAAGGCTATCTTATGACTAACTTAGGCCCGTTTTAGGCCTATGTCTAACTTAGGCCGGTTTTATACGTCAAATTTTGGTCGCATCGAATGCAAATAAGACAATTGATAATGAGATGATAAACCTCATTGAACTTCATTATTTATTGTTTGAATTGCATTCGACGCGACCGAAATTCGACGTATAAAACGGGCCTTGCAATAGCAGGAAAATGACCTCATTGAGCCATATAACTTTAATTCAGTTTTCCTGGACTTTTCTAGACAAATTCTATATCACAAATTTACTCTGAAATGTCCAAGTACAACTGTCTTTATAATGGTATTTTTGGGTTTGCCCATTCCCAATACTAGATTCGCCTTATTACGTTTCGTAGTGCTTTGCATTGTGGTTATAGTAGTATCACTGATACTCAAGATCGCTTATTTTTTGTCCTGATCCGTGCAGGTGCGCGATAGCCAACAGCAAAATACTTGGGAAAACATTCAATATTTCCATTCGAGGCCGCTATCTTTATCCATATTATCAGCGATACCACTATAACCACAATGCAAAGCGCTACGAAAACGTAATAAGGGGCCGAATCATCAATTTAGTATCTGTCATTCTCAGTAACCCAAACCCATTTTCCCACTCCAAAAATACGCAAATCCAGTTCCCATTTACCCCTTTAGGACTCTCAATATAATATATTTAGTAATTTAAATTAAAATACTAAAATTATAATTTGAAAACCAATACCATAAAGCAATAATGATTAAAACCAGCTAAATGTTAAAAGGCCATTTTCTGTAATAGGATGGTTTCGAGTGCAATTTAGATGAAACATGCGCGAGTTTATCAAGAAGCATCAAGTGCTATTTTTGAGGTATTTGAATTTCAATTGATTACAGAATTGAATTGTATGATTTATCACAGGAAACCATACATATATAAAAGTCTATACATTACACAAAACTGACGTTCTAGAAGCTCAAATAGAAATTATTAATGCTTTTGGGCTCCTCTCGAATATTACGTTGATTTAAATAATAAGTAGTTATACCGGTGAGCCAGAGGGTGGTATACGTCCTGTTATAGTAAAGTAAAGATAAAGTAAACTAATGAAAAGAAATACGCTGCCTATATATGACATCAAATAGTATGTATATGTGTAAATAAGTATAACTTTAATTTTTTTAAATAAACAAGTAGTTGATGCGAGAAGAATGTGAGCAGGTGTCCCAGAAAATGTTTTTATGTTGGCAGAAAGAAAAAAGGGAAGGAAGAAAAAGGGGGAAAGAAAGAAAAGAAGGAAAGGAAAGAAAGAAAAAAGAAGGAAAGAAAAAGAATAGAAAGAAAGAGTAACTGCAGGGACAGACGCTAGGTGTAGGGTGTTCTCCCAAAATAATTTACGAAAGAACTTTGATAGCGGAACGTAGCCTCATTTGCAGGCAACCTTGTTTTACCCCCTTTGGCCCTTGTTTTACCCCCTTTGCCTTGGCCTATATCGTACAACTGCTCTGGTTCCAAAATTTGCTATACGTATCGTTCCCTTCCCTCCTTAATTTCGATTCCCAATTTTATTTCTGTAAGAAGTAGTAACAGTAACAAATGACTTTATTAGCATGACTTTACATAGTATTGCTTATTAGTACGTTGGTATGGTATAAATATTTACAATTGCAAAATGTTTTGTGGTAGTATGACATACTGTCAGTATCGAGTACTACACGAAATAGAATTGAGGTTATTGATATAAAGGAAGACTTAGTTTACAGATGAGTACCCTACTATTTACAGTATGAATTGAAGAAGTTTGGGTTTTAGTTAAACAGTCTATTGACTGTCAGCATTCATGGCTTCAAGGCATTTAGATCTCTTCTCAAAACATAAAGAGAGAAATTCGATAATTTTATCACAGTTTGATTATCAGTTGATTTTATTATCTCAACACGTACACTGTGTTCGTTTAGATCTGCTTCATTGGTGGGATCACATTCCAAGTAATTTAAAAGGTTTACTAAGATTGGTAAACTTCAAGTAGTTTCCTGACCAAACTTCAATTGATGTTTATTAAAATTTGAAATGTACCTGATCCCTGTTTCATTTGCTTCACTATACAGAACAAGATGTTCAGTCACTGTAAAAGTGCACAAATTTTCCATAAAGGCGAACAAAAACATGGAACTTACAATGCCTTTTGTCCAGCTTCCAAATCATGTTTGTTTTCAGACTACTAATTATGATGCAAATATTAATCCAGTTTAAAACCGCTTTCCAGTTTTCACAAATCCACATTCTTACCTCTCTTGTTTATTTCAATTAAATTAATCCTTTCCTCAGTTGCTTTATGAAAGGAAGTCTTCTAGGACTGCCACAGTTTTTATATGGTGCTATGGTTATTTAATAATTCTTAAATCTTATTTAGTTCTCTTTGCAAGTGCGCCTTTAATTAATTTAAATTATACAGGATTTGTGTCGACTACAGTACTCGCAGAAACTTTTCCCAGTTTGCATTGCGGTCCCTGAAAATAAAATATTTTTTCCATTTTTGAATGTGAGAATGTCTGAACTAAGAGTATTGCAAAATAATGGGCCTTGATAGTTAATAGAAAATTGGCGCAATCTAGTTCTACATGCAGGTATATAAAATTCTCCAGCCCTTCGTGTGCTATAGCCTATATTCATGTATCTCGTTAATTCGCAGAAATATGTCATCAAATGTTTGAGGAAGTAAATTATTCTAATACTTAAACATAAAACAAAACTCACGAGCTGAGTACTTGTTTTATCCAAATTTCACGAGAAACCATCCTGTTACGTGTTAATAATATACATAAAAATGTTCGAGACAATTGTAGTTCGTTGACACAGCGAATCGTTCACTGACAAAGTTTTCCTGCTTAATTGTTACATCACATTATATGATTATATAAGATTTCACTGAACTATGTAAGTTTTGTTAGTCGTGCTTAAAATAAATTCTTTTCAATTAAAAAAGATAGAAACAATATTTTCCACCCAAACTCAACTTTTTTCCACCAAGCAGATCGGTTTGTTACAGATTTGTGCACTATTGTTACAGATTTTTGCACTGCTGTACGAGATTAACTCCACTGAAATCAACCAATTGCAGTCGATAAATATTTTGATGTATATTATTACAGTAGGCACATCACATTAGTAACAAGAGTTTCACATTAAACAACAGCTGGTGAAATTCAAACTTCTTATCGCTAATCATCAGATGGTAAACAAATGTTATTGCAAAATCCTCTCGGATACTCTATGTTTCAAAGCATCGACTATATATTAGCTGAGTACTTACAGTACTATGTGTACGTTATACCCGTAATTGGCATGATTGGAACTCCTCAACATATCGAAAACTCCTGTTATCTCAGGGGAGGGTCGTAATTTTTTGGGTTAAGTTTCTAGGGAGAGCAAAGATCTTTGGGTTTGTATTTTGAAGGGGATACACTATTTGTGGGCTCCCCTTCATGAAATTTTACCAGCCTCCCCCCCCTCCCACACACACATAATTAATTAATGACTTTAAATGTTCATTATTGACTTTAAATATTCAAGACCCTCGGCCAATCATTTTTAGGCTTATTAGTCATGTGAGGTATTTGAATATACGAGGAAGTTCACTATTGCCCATGAACAATATTGACAATCTGCACATTTCCTGCATTTAGACTCTTGCTTCCAATCCGTAAATCTCTTGACTGTATCAAGAAATGTCAAACCAAACAATTTCCAGTATAGAAGTACAATGTTTTAAAGTCTCATGCACCCATACTATTCTCACCCATCACCCACTCTCTGCGTTGTATATATATATACTGATCGCCTCAACAGTATATATATATATATATATATATATATATATATATATATATATATATATATATATATATATATATATATATATATATATATATATATATATATATATATATATATATATATATATATATATATATATGTAATATATATATATATATAT